GAGGGAACTGCTGGACGAGAAAGTGTTGGGTCTGATGACCCGTGTATTGAGAGGAACTACCGGTGTATTGAGGGGTCATGTTTGTGGTGAATGTGTGATCATTGGTGGCCATGGATGTGAACAACAACTCGTTGATCTCCTTAATAGTATCGGCAAAACTATAGTTGGGGTCATTGGCCTCATTGGTAGGTACGGCCATCGAGTCAGTGGTTCCCATATTATTCATATGATAACTGTTACCAAAAAAATATTGTATTCAAAATCCATTGTAATTATAAGTAAAGCTTTTGTGATAATAGTTATTGAAATAACAAGTTTTAATTATTACACAGTACTTAAAGCTAATGTAAAGTGATTTTATATAACTATAATAAATTTAATTTAAAAATTCATAGTACAGTATATGCAGACATTTAATAGTAAAATTCAATACTTTAATCAATCAATTATGATATCCATTAATTCAAGTATAAGATCTAAATTATAGGCTATTTCTTGATTATCTTATTATTTCATGCGAACTAGACTTCAGTTTTTCTATTCATGTGTTCAATAGTTAGCAAACTTTGCCATTGAATCGCATGTTATTTTAATATCAATTTAATGCTACAAACAATTATGTTAATAGAGATATATTAATAGTAAATGGTATGTATAGTATATAATTTAAACAATTACCTGGAGCTATGGTTTTGAAGATTAGACTGCATTGAAAGCCGTTCACAATGATCCGGATAATCCAAACTGGAGTTCAATGCAATGCAACTCCTATTGCAAGCAAACGCTTCGCAAACGACACACAAAACTTTGAATGAGTTTTATATAGAAATTAATGACACTTTTTGCGAAACACAATTTAGATATTAAGTTACATTTAATTATCAATTAGTACACTAATAGAAATGAATTAATTATGAAAAAATCAAAAGTCATGCATTGGTTGCAAATGAGTCGTGTCGTGCACTCACTGCAGCCTAATATCATACTGACAGCAACGCGAGTAATACGAGACCTTTTATACATTATTTGGTTTATACTTTAATATTAGTCAAAGTTTTTAAGTTTTAGTCAAATGTCAATACAATATGGGATTATAGTAACCATCCAATCACGTGGTGGCGCGATACAAATAGGTAATATTGTAATTAACTGCCAATACCTTTCAAATGTGGTACTGTATCCCAAATAAATTACACCAAAAATTACTTTCTTATTTTATTGCAAGAATTATTTTATTAATTCGTCAAAATTACGTTAACATCATAATTGACTGAAATTTGATACATAGTAATAATATATAAATTAAACTTTTTATATACACTGTATTTGCATTTAAAATCATATTAATATTTATTTTATAAGCTAAGTTACAAGTACGAATTAAATTCTGATCATTAATCCACAATACATTTGATAATCACTGATTTAAATGAGTAAATAATTAGTCTTAGATGTCCCAGGGGCAAACTTGAGCATTTGGTGGCACGTCATAGATCTCCTTAAGAAGTGGTGTAAAACTCGCGGGAACTCTCGTGTGGACGTGTTGTTGATATACTCGACTTAAAACTTGCAACTCTATCATGACATTCATGAGCTTCATAAATGTCTCTTTAATTTTCCACTCGCATTGATATTTGGTTTGCAGGTAACGTTTCAGTAGATATATGTACGAGCTTTGTTGACATCTATCATATTGTATATGATTAATACTTGAGATTATTATATTGGACCCGAGTTTATGACTTACTTAATTATATTTCTATGGGTTAGCTTATTTCGGTTTGGATTATATAGCATGATTACCGTTAACTGTAAATGACATTAATGACATTATACATTCAATTATGATTAGTTTTCAGTGTCCAGGTATGCATACCAAGTCCTCGATGATGGGGTCGTAGTCGTATTCATTGAAAACTCTTTGCATATAAGTCTTGAGGGCCGCGTAAAATGAACTATTTGTCGGTTCAAACAAATCCAACTTGATAATTGTGGAAAAGTTGTTATCCTATGACCACAAATACAAGTGAAATATTTGAAAACTCAAATCTTGAGTGACAATAATTGTTCACTAAAACTACTGTATGAATAGCTACTTACAGTTTTAATGACAACGTGTTTGTCGTCATAATTGACATCATTAATGAGTCGCAAGAATATGATTTCCGGTGAACCGTATTTCAAGAGCGATATCCTGTCCTCTTCGCAAATGGTGTTAAAACCGCTCAGATTTTGCGATAATTTCACCACTCGTTGGATCTCTTCCTCGAGCTTCACGGAAAACACTCGACACGCCTCCAGAAGGGCTTTCGCTTCCGAACTGATGACAGAGTCGGGTCTCTTCAGTACCGCCGATGCCATCAATAATTCACTCAATTTATTGGCCTCTAATTCATTGAACGTTTGGTTGCCATCGAGGGGCCGGTCGACGGGAACCACTGATAGCATGAAAGTTGATGTCTTTTCCAAGATATGGTCTGTCATTATATCCTCAAACTCGCTGTGATTTAAGCAAATGACCCCTTCCTCGACCGTTATGTCGTTGTTTTGTGACGATTCCGATGAACTACTGGTGCTTTCAAATGCTATATCAGCGGCTCTTTTAATGACAGTATTGGTCGAATCGATGATAGTTTCGCTTTCTTTGGTTTCTTTGAGTTTTTCTCTTTTCATTTGTAATCGTTTTCGTCTCAAATCTTTCTCTTTGTCTGTCAGTAGACATCCCTTTAATGAATGAAATGTTTATGCGCTTAGATAATAGACTAGTTTATATTTGAAAAAGTTTTTATTATACTTTTCTCATTCCGATATCAAAGCATTTCTGTAATCGACAGAAACGGCAAAACTTTCTGGTCTTTAGGTTTACACTACATTTGCTGTCGAAATGGCAGCTAAACTCCTGTAAGAATATTACAAAAGTTATGCTATTAATAAATATATTATATTAAATCATTAATTAGATAATTAAATAAATAATTAATGATGTTTTCTGCAATTCTTACTTCATTTCTAAATGCATTTCGTCTGAAAAATGCTTTACAAGACTCGCACGAAAGGCCACCAAAATTAATGCCTTATATTTTGAAAATAATCAAAATATACTTATTAATAATAAGTTATAATTATATTATTAATCTTAACCTTTAATTAAATATAAAATTTTAAGTTAAATGTTTATATATTATTAATATATGATTATATAAAATATAAACATACCAAATGCTTTATCACCACAAACCAAACATATTTTTGATGAATCTTTATTATTAGACATTTTATACAAGAATCTATTTATCAATATAACAAACTTATTACTAATAAGTTATTAGGAAATAATACTAATATTCATTTATAAATTGTTATATGGGTCCTTTAAAAAATACCACTGTTTAGTAAATTAACTAAATTTAACACATCATTTAATAAATACTAATTTACATCACAAGTAAAACCCGATAAAAATTTCCTGAATACAAATAATGGTCAGTGAAACTCAACATAAGTTTGATTAATATGTTAGTACAATGTGTTATTTAGTGCACAATGTACTTAAAGTTAGAGATTGCGTATTCTGGATACTAGGCATACAGTAGTACTGTAACAGTACCTAGTTTTTATTATGTACTCCCATTCCAGAAACTTTTCAAGGGCATTTAATACAGTAATAAAGAGAATTTATTTACTTTTCTTACTTCACTACCGTATACATAATATCATATTATTATAAACAATTCAATTTATAAATAACGTTATAAAATTTATTAAATAATTTATACAGAAATCAACTAAAACTCTGTATAACATTACAAAAATGGGAAATAATCATCAATTTCTTCGGACATAATCTCTTTGACGAGTTGTGTACAGCATTTCCTGAGCTCAACGTCCGTCTCGTAATAGTTTTGTCTATTTGTCAAATAAATTGCGTTCAAATACTTTAAACTTTTTATTAGTCGCGAAAACTTTGCTCGCGATTCGCATTCGCATCGATATCTCAATTGTAAATAGCGTTGAAGTAAATACATGTAAATATTTTGTTGAAATCTACAAATACAATAGTATCCAAATAATTAACTAGATACAAATTATTAAACTTATTGCTTACTTAATTGCTTTCCTATGCAAAAGGTTTGGTCGGTTCGGGTTGAACAGTGTGATTGATGTCAACTGTAATACATTATTAAACATTAATAATTTTTTTTATTAAATATTTTCTAAACTAATTACTAAGTTTAGGATAATGACATCGGAATCCCATTCACTATGAATGCACTTATAGTACTGTCTGTAGGCCTCATACAAATACTTTCTCTCACTTTTGATGCCTTCAAACTTTACAAGAGTTGAGGTCTCTTTGTCCTAAATATCACCACAAAAATCAGTAAATTATCAGCAAGCAATAATTTTATAAATAGTCTCCTACTGCATGGACAGCCAGGTATTGTGTGTTGGGATCATAGCCCGTGAGTTGTCTCATTGAACACAACTCAATGGACCCGTATTTTAATAGCGCGATCTGATCGTTGGGGCAAATGGTGTTGAATGCGGTCAATGTCTTACACATTATGACCAGTCTTTGCACCAAATCTTCAGTGCTTCTGGTGATGGCAGTCATTGCGTCCATATATGTGTCCACTTGTGACGTGATTTTGCCGAAAGTTAGTGTCAACACATTTGCGGCACTCATCAGTTCAGTCATGCGATTGCCCTCTAATTCAGTCAAATTGTTTCGATAGTCGGTGATTGGCCTCAAAATAGGCATCGCTTGTGGTGTTAAATATAAGTCATTTCTAGTCATATCACTTGAGAAGTGATTTAAAACATTGTGTTGAATGCATTTTTCAATTTCATAAATCTGTTTATGAAGTTTATCACTAAAAATATTGCTATTTATTAGTAATTCATCAATTGTTTCGTTACTAGAGTTTGTATCAGTAGTCGATTCTGCAACCAATTCATTGTTATTACACTTATTTTGCAACCGTTTTCTCCTATTTTCTTGAATTTTCGTTTGTCTCATCTCTTTCTGCTCGGCATTTAATATATTTTCCTAAACATTAAAAACAATTAATAGTATTATAATTTAAAATGTAACTATGATTATACTGTATAAACTTGTTTAAAAAGTTTTACTCACTTTTCTCATTCCCAGCGCTAAACACTTTTCGAGTCGACATTTTTGACAGAATTTTCTTTTCAGTGAATTTATTTCGCAATTGTTACCAAAATTGCACTTAAATTCCTATTTATAATAATAAAATAATTAAATATACATGTGGTATACTGGCTGTCAGAATGTATTTATTTGTAAATACAATATTTTTGATGGCATTGCGTTTAAAGAAAGTTTTACACGAGACACACGACAATACATTGAAATTAAAACCTATTATAAAAATAGTTTTGTTAAATAAATTTCTATAAATCCAACACTTTGTACTCATTCAAGACATACCCCGAGCCTTATCTCCACAAATCGCGCAAACTTTTATAGGTTTCTTATCAGACATATCATTTATATTTATTAATCTAGTTATTAAACATATTAAACATATTTTGTAAAAACACTAACTTGTAAATAAAATATACAAATAAAACCAATGTTTATACTTGCGCCATATATTTGCACTAAACTTTAAGGTAAGCTATATAAAAAATGTACATTATAATGATTGCTCCAAGGACATACGATTCTCACTTTCGATTGCTATACTTTATTCTATGGTATATAAAAACAAATACAATTTATTACTGTATATACTTTGTACACTATATAAAGTAATGTCTATTAATAATAAAAGATTAATAAATTTACAATAATGCATTAAATGTTATTGATATTTTCTTTGAATAATTAATATTTTCATTTAATTTTTGATATTAATTTCATATATCTCTCTAAATAATGGCCCCAAATATTTAGGCTTATACTCAACAAAGTCATTTTTAATTGTATCATTTAATTTGTGCAATAATTGGACACATTTGACAACTCTTTGTAATCTTGATTTAACTTCACTTTCAGATCGATATTTCAATAATAAGTATCGCTGCAACAAATGAACATAAATGTGTTGCTTATATCTACACAAAACAGAATATTCTGTAAATTGTAACTAAATTTTAATTCAATGCTTACTGAATGACATCTCTATGTCTAAGATTGGGTCGATTCGGACTGAAGAGTAGTATTGCTGTCATCTAAATAATTAAACACTAATTAATATCCAGTTTAGTAAAATAATTTTAAAAATTCAATACCAAATTCATAATAACAGAATCACAATCCCATAAAAACATGAATTCCCACATATAATCCTTAAATGCTTTATAGACTATTGGTTTACTTTTCTCTATTAGAGACAATTCAATAGTAATTGTATATTCATTCTGAAAATAATACTTTATTAATATTATACTGTATGTTAGAAATTAATCTTATAATGAAAAACTCACTTGATAATTAATTTTCAAATATCTATTAACCAAATCGTAAGCCACTGTCTGTCGGAGACAACACATTTCAATGCAGCCATACTTTATAAGTGCGATCTGATCATCGCTACAAATATCATTGAATTGCGTCAATAGTTTGGACAATTGGATCAATTTATGAGTTAGGAGTTCCCAATTGCGGACAATCGCCTCCAGTCTCTCGTAAGTACCGATTGTATTAAACACCAGTTTTCCGGTTGATATGTTCAGTGCATTGGCGGCGCTTAACAGCTCCGACAGTCTCAAGCCCTCCATCTCATTGAAATTATTGTTGTAATCAGTTATCGGTCTTATTATAGTCAACGCTTTTAGTTCATAATTATTTAGTAATATCTGATTTATCAAGCTGCTTTTATCATATTTAAAAATTTTTGAAGTGTTTAACTGATCAGTACTTTGATTGATGATGGACGATTGCAATTCATTGTCCAACACTTTCCCGTGTTTAATGCGCTTACATTTCTATAATTGTAAATTTATTTTAAAAAATAATACTGTATTAAAATTTGGTATTTAGATTAATTAATTTATAGTCATTTAATTTATGAAAATTATACTTACTTTTTTCATTCCCACTGCTAAACACTTTTTAAGTCTACATTTTTGGCAGAATCTTCTGCTAAAAGTGTTGATATGGCAGTCATTGTTATAATAACACATGTAATCCTATATGTTAGAAAATTATTAATTTTATAAATATTTAATTTAAATTTTCTTATTGAATATAACATGGCTACTTTATTTTTTGATGCAATTCTTTTAAAAAACGATTTACACGATACACACGTGAGCACTGAATAATTATTTCCTATTATGGTATTAATAAAAATAATTGTATGAGTTAAGTATATTATTTACATATTACTTTATTTTTTGATGCAATTCTTTTAAAAAACGATTTACACGATACACACGTGAGCACTGAATAATTATTTCCTATTATGGTATTAATAAAAATAATTGTATGAGTTAAGTATATTATTTACATAATTTAATTTGCATATACGTGTAATGCAAGTGAAACTTAAAAATCACATACCAATAGCTTTATCACCACAAACAAGACATTTTACTTCTGAGTCCATGAGTTTTGCAAAATAGCTTTGATTTTTAAATTAATTTCAAAGGGTCTTAATATAAAAATCAGACTTGTACAATAAATTTTTGTAAAGCTCCTATTCCATTATTTTAATTACTAATGAAGTGGCAATTTATAATTGAATTTATTTCCATTATATGTTATAAGAAGTGATACATATGATTGGTTTCTAAGACAACATTTTAATACAGTACATATTATAAAGTGTATTTCTTTAGTAACAAATACAATTTAGCAAAAAAAATGTTAGAGTATAATTAAATGTACATTTTTATTGACAATCGACGTGTTATGAATCATTAAATTTTCTATTAATTCTGTATACAATTTTCATATTAATATCATTATATGAGCTTTGAACAATTATAGTAACGTTAGCTATTTTATTTTTATTATATCAAATTATTAATTTTATGCAAAAGTCAATTATTCATAAAATATTCATAGATTTAAGGTAAACGAGTAGTATTATAACTCATCAGGTTAAAATATGACTGGATTTTAAAGAATTAATAAAAATAGCTAAAGTTACTATAATTGTTCAAAGCTCATATATAATATTTATAAATACCAATATACAGTACATGTACAGTAATGTACAGTAGAATTTATTCTTAATGTGTACAAATATTTATAAATTTTATATATTGATACTTAACAGTAATTATATTTTATGCTTTTTTGCATATTCATAAATGACTATTACATTACTGGATCTCTGTGTTTTTAAATAAGTTTAATCAATTAAAATTTGTAAAGATTCCTTGATATTTATTAAAATTAATTTTATTCATTTCTATCACATATTTCTTTATAAAGTGGTACAAAATTCAAATCAATACGTTTGGAAAACATAGTTATTTTGTCGCTGATTATATTTAAATATTTCAGATTATCTAATAACTTAAAAAGTTTTATTTGCGACACAGACTCCGATTGATACTTCACTTGCAAATAGCGTTGCAGTAAATGTATGTAAATATTTTGGTGATATCTATAAATTAAGTTTAGGAATGTTAATGAAATCGTAATCAAGATTAAAGTGCACTTGTCACTTACTTAATCACATCCTTATAGATTAGCCTGGGACGACTTGGATTATACAGTATAATAGCTGTTAACTGCAAATATAATTAACAATTACAATCAATTACTTTACAATCACTGAATACAACCAAATCAATAGTGAGTGGATCTAAATCCCAATCAAATGCCATATTCTCAGTGAAGTATTTGTGATAGATATAAGTGTTATTAGTTGTGTCTGAGCTTGGTAGTTGTTTAAATAAATCCAATTTTATTAGGTGAGATTTATTATTCTGGTAGATAATTGACATCCAAATTAATTTATAAAATAGTA